TCCTCGCTCCGAGCTATGCGTGTTGCAGCCGCTTAACGATGTAGAGCGTAGAGTCTCTCTCTCTCTCTCTCTCTCTCTATATATATATATATATATATATATATATATATATATATATATATATATAGTTGCATTTACTAAAGCTTTTTAAACTGTACGGCAGAGAAGACGAAAGACTGGGCTTCAGGGAATCATGCTGCATAACGATATCGCCTCTTCACATACCTCCCTTAGAACAGAAGCATTTATTGAGGAATCTGGTATTGAAACTCTAAGTCACCCACCTTCTAGTCCTGACTTAGCTCCCTGTGATTTCTTTGTGTTTCCAAGAGTCAAAGAAAAAATAAAAGACAAGTTTTTTTTTAATCGCCGAAAAAGCCATGGCTGCCTACCGAGAAGCGTATATATATATATATAATAGTTACCATGAGTATTACTTGATCCGAAGTGCTGGTTATAATTAGATCAATCAATCATCAGTCAAGTCATCAGTTATAATTCACATTCTATATTATAAATGAAGAATGTGGAAATTAGCAAGACTAAATGATTGCACGAAACGTGAACGATTAGAATTTTGAAGTAAGTCGGCGTATAAATCAACCAATAAAGTTTTAAAATTTTCTTAAGCCACTTCGAATTCGGCAAAATAGTTTGTTTAAGAAGAGCAATACAGCAGTCTAAGAATCGTCTTAATGCCTTTAACATTTAGCTCTAAAAATAAATATTCAGCTCAAGCAGAGTATGGAGAAAGAGAAGCTAATACAACTTTATTTCCAATTGAATTTTGAAGATAAATAGAAACTCCACCTTACCTCTATCTATTATTATGAGCGAATATTCCCAATCAACACCAAGTTAGGAAGGGGATATAAACATTGAAGGATGGGTTTAGCCAGCTTTCAAGGACTAAAATATCATAGAAAACGATGCTTCCAATTCCAACCTTGAGTAGTAGTAGTTCGGGATACTTTTAGCGTTTATATGCCAAATATTTTAACGAATTTATTACTGTTCGATCATAGGTTATAAAATCCGGCTCCTGCAGCCTTTCGATATAAAGTTGATGTAGTGTATTTAGTAAAAATTCTTATAATTTAATAAGTTTTAAACGAAAAAAAAATTATATACAACCCATTACAGTATCTTTACTTATTTAAGTATCCTTACTTAAATTATTAGCTCCGTATAGAATAAAGCATATCGCATAAAAATAATTTATAAATATAATCATTATCAAGTATAACAAGCTAGTTATTATTTTTTATATGACTTAGTAAACTCACTTATCATGCATCATGAAAGCTGCTTTATAAATGATTGTAATTATGACCAACTATAAAACGTTTTAAGAAATTAAGAATCTACATTACATAGTTTAAATTAGCCAAAATATGTCTTCCTAGACGAGTCAATTTACATTATTACTTATTATTAGACTATTTTGACAATCTGATAAATGTGCCGCCACTTTGATGCTGTTACAAATGTGCAAAATTTAATCAGTGGTGCCGCCATATTACATTATTTAAAGACGCACAAGGGTCGTTGAACTTATAAACAGAGAAAGAAAAATAGTTAATCCCAGAGTAGTCGTTGTTGTAAACGTTGCCTGTAAATATTTTATGTTAACAGAAATAGATTCGTTGAGCAAACTGTGGTTTTGTTTCTTGTCTTTAGTTGTACAATGCTATTAGACTCTGTAAAGTTTATATGACATAAATATAATAGGTACCCAATCTAAATATCACAAACAATATTAAGTGACTCCTTAATTTGTCTAAGGGTACGTCTAGGTAGGTTGCATATAGCGGTGTTTGCACTACTATGTTCCTGATTCCTGTCTGAAGGGTATAGAAGTCTCAAGGATAGAGTTAGAGAGCCCTACATGATGATGACCCCGAGATAACTTGACTGATGATTGATTGATCTAATTATAACCAGCACTTCGGATCAAGTAATACTCATGGTAGTGTTATATATATATATATATATATATATATATATATATATATATATATATATAATATAGTTTTTCTCGCCACGATCTCATCTGTTTCTTAAGCCTCCCAAATAACCCCTACCATACTGCATCTCCGCAATTTTACGAGACTAAATACTGACAAATATATGAATGATACATCTAAATTAGACTTTACGTTGTGGATACTATGCTCCAGTTAATATGGTTAAATTTAAACGTCCTTCACCTCCTTAGCTATCCTGGAAGAAATGCGAAGTGGAAAAAGAATGAAATCGGGCTTTTCCGATATCAAAAGGACAAAAATCGTAGAGTACTGGTTATCCTTTAATATGTATAGATACAGGTGCAAATAAACCACCAGGTGACGCTAAATGCCTATATTTCCACCATGATACGAACAAGTTGTTTCCAGCTGAGATTTGAAAATTTCTCAGTTTTTCCTTTTCTTTCTCTTGATGAATTGTATATCCATTTTGCTTCTGCTCTGCAGTTGACCCTTCAATCGTTTCCCCAATTCAAAATGTTGCTTATATCGCATTTGTCACCTGATAACGCGGAAGAAATTATAAAGGCTCTTGTGGCAATAAAACCAAAGGCCGTTGGATGCGATGAGGTTAGTAGGTTCAATATATTCAATACGTAGGACAATCAATAAGTTTTGAGATATGCAAAAAGTATTCTGGATACTATTAATATTTATTGCACATTTTTTGTAAATATTCTCAATTATGCTCTATACAAAGTTCCGTGCCCCTAAACAAACTCTGAAAATACTTTTGCCAGTCCTGATCTGACAGGTCGAATATCGCTTCTTCGTAGGCAGCCATGGCTTTTTCGGCGCTTGAAAAATACTTGTCTTTTATTTTTTCTTTGACTCTTGGAAACACAAAGAAATCACAAGGAGCTAAGTCAGGACTAGAAGGTGGGTGGCTTAGAGTTTCAATACCAGATTCCTCAATAAATGCTTCTGTTCTAAGGGAGGTATGTGAAGAGGCGATCTCGTGATGCAGCATGATTCCCTGAAGCCCGGTCTTTGGTCTTCTCTCCCGCACAGCTTGAAAAGCTTTAGGTAATGCAACTGTAGTATACCATTCAGAGTTGGCTAACCTATAATTTTCCAGCATTGATATCGACAAATGTCCGCTCCGCGAAAAAAAACTAGCCACCATTTTTTTGCCAACGTTGCGGGGTCTTTGTAGTTTTGTTTCTAATTGTCCTTCTGAGTAGACCCATACCGATTATTGCCTTTTATTTTCCGGATCATATTGATAGAGCCATGTCTCGTCACCAGTAACAATTTCTGAAACACGCCTAGATGCCCCGTTTTCAAAACGTAGACGCATTTCATGGCACCAATCCACACGACTCTGTTTTTCGCTTTCGTAGAGCAAGCGGAAAGAAAACGAGGGATTAATCGACAAAAAAGCTTCCTCACTCCAAAATGTTGATGTTTGATGGTATGAATGCTCCCCGATGCCTACAATCTCTTCGATGCCATATGTGTGATTCGTGGGTCTTCTCACACCAACATTTCAGTAGTCCATACATTTTCTGCCGTTACTGCTGTTTGCTGGGCCCCGGTTCTTTGGTCATCTTTAAGGTTAATTTTACCGCTTTTGAATTCAGCAAACCACCTAAAAATTGTTGCGCGTGATGGAGCTGAGTCCCCTAATGCTGATTGTAACCGTTGTAAACTTAATTGTTCGGTAAAACTAAATTTAAAATCATAATAGATCTTAGCGCGCAAATGTTCATTTGAAATGAAAAGCGCGGGAAGCGTTGCAGGAAAATTAATAGAACTTTGTTTTTTTTTTTTTAATATTAAACAATTGCCTTATGAAGTTCGATTTTTAAATAAATTTGCTTTTTAGAAACATATAACACGGGTGCGATTTTTAAATTTTGAGCATCTCAAAACTTATTGAGTGACCTACGTATAGTGTAGTACCTAATTCCCTGATTCTCAAACTAATTTTGTTTATACATAATGCACTTATTACATTTTCTTACTACGCTCAGAGTTGTCTGGGAGGACATGCATGAAGGCATTAAATACGTCTTTTTCTACTTCCTTTCGTATCTTTATGAGTGTAATTAATTAAGTGTAAATAAATAAGTATCATAAATTAAAATAAAAGCGATAAAATAAGCATACAAATTTTCAAGTATTTCCTACTTGATTCAATTTATTGTAATAAACAAAACAGTCATTCAAAATCGATGGAAACTTATTTACATCTTATGAGGTCTTATTGGCGATAAAACTTGTTTTAAAAATGAACGATGATTATAATTAAATTAAGGACACCGTACCATAATATGGTACTAAAGGGGCTAAAGTTGAACTTCTTCTTCTGGTATCAATTATATTATCAAATGCAGTATTATCACTGACATCTTTGTCATACGTGGCTCCCGACTTATGGATATCCAAGCACTAAAATTTGTACTCATTGTTTAATGATTTAGTTCCTAAGTGCGATCATAGATGGCGCTTGTTGTATGTTGCTTCACGCGGTGTAAAGGTTTTTTGATTTAATTACCCTCGGGTTCATACGTCTCACAAAGTCGCAATAAAAAAATACTAATTGGTTTGTTAGTACTGTATAATGAAATTTAAATTCAAATACATACCTACCTCCTACCTCGAACTAGGGATGTTCTGATACCATCAAAGTATCGATACCTACTCATTTCGATATTACTCAAATCTTTTTTCGATACTACTTATATAAATACTCCTAAAGTATCGATACTTACTGATATCGATACTTTTAGCAATTTATTTTTACTAACGTAAAAAGAATGAACTTTGAAGGACAATAATTAAAACAAAATTGACAAGGAAAAAATATCTTTTATTATAAACGTCAAACGACTCTTTCTAAATACCTCTACTATTACACAGTATTTTTATTTCTAAAGTAGTCTTATTTTTTTTTTAAATACACTGCTTTTCCAACCACCTTTTCTGAGATAACCGCGCCTTAATGTCAAAGAGTTTTTTGTTTAAAGTTTAAACAAAAAACTCTAAATCTAAATCTAGATTGCCCAAAAATAGTACCTGTTTCAGGTATTTCGGAGACATTCTGTTCCTTGTGTGAGACATTGTAGTACCGGCTTTGGAAAAAAGGCACTCGCTAGGAACTGACGTTGCCACAACTATTAAATATTGCTGTGCATACTTGTACAGACAAGGAAAAACAAATTTCATGTCATCCCATTCTGCAAATGGGTTGCTTTTATGAGAAACTACTGGATTTGATAAATAAAGAGAAACTTCATCTCCCTGATGAGATTTCTTTTTCTTCTTGTGTCCATGTGCTAACTCCTTATGATGTTTCCAAAAATCATATTCAGGTGGTGCAATAGATGAGACATCATCTTCTGACTCACTTGGGTTACTTAATTGTCCGACAACCATGGTTCTAAGTTTTTGAATAGACCTGACCGATGTGTTCGAAAAAAAATTTTTTTTAATTGTTTATTTTGATTCGATTTGATATCAAGCACTTTTGTTTCGATACCGAGTATGTATCGTAAGATTGATTCGATGCTGTAAATACTTGGTATCGAATCAAAAGTATCGAGTACCTACTCGTATTTACTAGTATCGGAATATCCCTACCTCGAACTACCTCGTCATACCTATGTACTGGATTATACACTCATGAAGAGGTCAAATCAATCATTAAAGGCCTTAAGTCCTTAAGCAGCTTAAATTTATACGTGATAATGCTACATTATATTTGTAACACGAATGAGTCGGTTCGACAAGGGTAGAAACGCAATCTCAAAGAATACAGGCGCAAAACAAGAGCTGATGCTGCTGTGTTTCTTGTAGAGAATGATTGGAAAGATACTACAACACGATAAAAATCCGTCCATTAGTGGTAGAGGCAAGTAAATACTACCACGATAGTTATGCTGACCCCCAAGAGACGTCCGGATTTACAATCGCAGTTAGAGATATCTTGCATCTTTCTGTCGCCTGTCTAGCGCTTTTACGCCTCCCGTAAAAATGGTAATACCACAATCTATCATCAGCCATAACATCTAAATAATGTTCTTATATATTTTATTATATTTATATCATTGCGTAAATTTATTAATCAGATTCGATATTATCATTACAATAATGCATATCGTAATAGTGCCCTCGTTCTGACCTAACCTTGTATAATTAATAATAATAATAATAATAGTAATAGTGAATAATAATAAATAACATGTTTTATGCACGCTTGACCAAAGTGCTTAACAGCCTTTTGTCCGGTGTGAATAAGGCACACGCATATAACGGCTGGGTCATGCCTGTCCTCATGTATACCTTTGGCATACTCAGGTGGACTCAGACTGAACTTAACGCCCTGGATAGAAAAGTCTGCACTACCATGACGTCCCATAGGATGCATCATCCGAGATCGTCGGTAATGAGGCTGTTCTTGCCGCGAAAGCATGGTATGCATGCATAATCGCAAAGTGTGCAGCCTCTGTGATTACTTCCTGGCGAGATCGGATGATCCACTCTATAAGGACGTCATTTCTTGTGATAAAGGACTTACCCCTCTATCCTTAGCCAACGAGCAATGGCAAGACCCGGCAGTGCAGAGCATTTCCGACCGGGAGACCGTATGGAAGGAGAAGGAGCCCCACGGGAGGTTCTACAAGGCTCTACATGAGCCTTTCGTAGACGCAGTAGCCTCCCTCCACTGTCTACTCTTTGGTGACCTCTTCGAGGAAACCGAGGGTTTTGTCTGTGCAATACAGCATCAGGTTATTAAGACCAACAACTATCGAAGATACATCCTAAAGATGGCACCGTCGACATCTATCGAGCTTATCGCCATCCCGGTGTCATTTAGGCATGTCATCTCCCGTTGTTCGGCGCTTTCTAACTCTGCGAGTACTTGCACAGACACAACCTAGTAGCCAGTATTATTCACCAGGAGCTCGCTCTGAAATACGGTCTCGTGGATCGGAAATTGCCGTGTTACAAGTACTTGCCGGAAGCCGTGCTCGATAATGATCGCACCAGGCTCTATTGGGACCGGGCCATCATCACAGACAGGACTATTCTTGCGAATAAGCCTGATATTGTGCTGATGGACCGGCACAGTCAAGGATATTTTTGGTAGCAATTACCATTCCATATGACGAGAACCTAGTGAAAGCCGAAACAGATAAGCAAACAAAATATCTGGACCTGGCTCACGAGGTGACCAACATGTGGGGTGGTCTGTCGACCGAAATTATTCCTGTAGTCGTCTCTGCAAACGGGCTAATCCCAGTCAGCCTCTCAGGTCATCTGCGGCGGCTGGGACGCGCCGGGTCTCTCGCGGCTGGGACTGCGTGGCGGAGCGCTCCAGGCTCAAATGCAGAAGGCGGTGCTCCTCGATACCGCCCGCATCGTCCGCCGGTTTCTTTCCCTTTCCCCCTAACCCTCGGCTTTTATTTATTTATGTATTTTTATATTCATTTAATTTTATTGATATTTATGTATATTTATCTTTTCATTTCCATTTATAATTATATATTTATAGAATCCAACCAGATGAGAAAACTATATTGATACCCCCCAATAATAATAAAAGAACACGGCTACAAACACTATACAAATCAGACCCAGACAGGGTTTAACACAGAGGACCCAAAGCGTATAAGCTGGGTACTCCAATCACTATCACACATTCATAATACTTATAATACATTGTTTGTTGTAAATAGAAACTAAATTCGGTTTGGCACTCCCTTGGTAATATGTGTACCGCGTTTTTAATTAGGCCAAGGAATACTTGTTGTATGATTAATTTGTGTTCCAGATACCTTATTTATAGCATTTGCACTTGAAAATTTAAGTAACAATGTAAACGTACCTAAATATTTTTGAAGTTAATGTATAAGTTTAGTTTTTAAAATTGCACTTTAAGGGTATGGTGAATACTGACTATGTACATTTTTTGAAAGATGACAAAACAATGCATTATATATACGTCACGAGGTTTGGGGCTGGCATAAGAGAAATCCTCTGCCCGTTTAATCTCGTGGGTGTCGTAAGTGACGACTTGGAAAAAAGCCAGAATAGGTTTTGGCCTCTGATATATATCACTATAAACATCGCATATTTATACCGGATTATAAAACCGTAGCCTGGTGACGGAATGCAGCGTCAAGGATACGACATGTCCGGTATTGCGAACTAGTTCGTCTGTCAGACTTTACAGTTAAAGGTATCCTCCGTAATATGGGTACTGCAGTGAATTCATACGGACCGATGAGGCTACTCCTCAGTATACGAAAACTGGCTTATTTTAATATTATTATAAGTATCTACGAACTTCCAAAAGCACAAGCACTCGTTTTCTTTCTTGAAAAGGGCTTAAAATCTTAGGAGCGATAATTCATTTGAGGATTGAGTGATAGGTATTTCTCATTAAACATCTAGTTTGCTGTCGCCAATTTGTCTGCCAAGCGTGGCGATCAAGATAAATCAATGTCTCAATTTGCGTACGGTTTTCTAAATTGGATATATACGGATATTGGATGTAAAACCGTGCTGTAGCTATATTATGGTTGTGGCACATATGAGTCGGCTCAACCGGCGTAGGACTACGCTAGAATACCAGTGTAAAATAGCAGATTAATGATGCTGTTTCCTATAGTGAGTGTAGAGCACCGGAGACCTTTTATACTGGAAACGAGGCATTCCCTCTTAGTTCTCAGGGGTGAGAACGCATCTGCATGTTGATTTTTAATTGAAGATGATTAATGTAGACGTCTATAGGCCACAGCATCCACTTATCATCGGGTGGACTGTGTGCTCGTTTGTCGCCCTTATTCTATAAAAAAGAAAAAATATTGGAACATGGAATAGTTTTAAAAATTTCAAAAATAAGGCTTATCTTAAAGACCTGCCCATGCTCAGGGTAACATGAGTTTTCTGTCATGTCAAATTCGTATTGCCATCTAGTGACTTTGTATGACGTGAGTGTTGTTCAAATTTTTATATAATTTTATTCAATGACTATTAACAAATTGCGAAAACGTTGTTCGGCACAGTAATAGATGAAAACTCTCCTGCTGCATCAGAGTCGCTTAATCATTATTTTTGATGTAGGTATCGATTTTAAAGATATAATGGTTCATTATAAGCGCCTCTGAGAGCGACAGTTTTTGCATTTTGTTGAATGAAACTGAAATACATGTAGAAAAAGTAGAAAATGAAAGATTTAATTTGACACGCAGCTTTCAGACTAAGAGCATCTCACAGAAATTCATATTATATATACCATTTGTCGTCAATAACAAATAGTGGTGACCTTATTAGGTGTGAGGCCCTTTGCTGATAATCTGTATTTTTCTATCTCATAAATAAAAATACTGGTAAGTGAAAACTAAAGAGATGGTTAACGCTCGCTTTAAATATAACAGAACGCGAGTAAACCGGGTTCGATCCCCCCTGGCACCAATGAAATTGTTAATTACAATTTTAAGTGCTGATTTACCACGTGCTCGGTGGTGAAGGAAAACATCGTGAGGAAACTTACATGTCTGAGGAATAAGAAAAAAAAATATTTCGAAGACTATTATATTATATTCACAATATATTATATATTGTGAAGTTTGCCAACACGCATTGGGGCAGCGCGGCGGGCACTTCCTTGCCCTAAAAACCCTCTCAGAAATGAGGGGAGAACTGTGCCCAGCAGTGGGACGTTTTAGGCTGTAACTTTACTTTTTTTACTGGAAAGTTATTTAAATGTGTTTAAAAGTATTGTAATATATAAAAAATAACAATTAAACAATCATACCATACTAATTTAATAACGAAATACAAATAGTAGTTCATCTAAGAACGGTCGTTTCTGTTGCTGTACTTAGGATAGATTAGATCATCCAACATTTAACACTTAATTGCTCAACATGTTTCATGAATGAATAGGTAAAAATATTTCTAGCCACGCTGCTACCACACTGAAAAATATACAACTGAAAGGGTTGTTAATAGTGCATTCTTATAATTTTTATGACCTGTGTAAAATGTTTATTTTATTAGTGTGAATATTCTAAAATGGCAATTTTTTTACTGCCATATTACTTAAGATTCCTTTAAACTGTATTTAATACCTATCGATCCGCTTAATCTTAACACAGGTGATTTCTGAAACTCTTAGGGTGGATGGATTTCTTAGGGTGGATAAACGGAAGAACTCAACAGAGAAATACAGAGTATAATTAGCAAATATTAGTGCTTGCATGTTATTAGTGGAAAATAAAATTTTCGAATGATCGTATATTAATTTTTTATTTTAGAAAATTTTATATTTACAAAATATAAATAAATTTATTCTCCCTATATGATTAATTACTGTAAAACAATTTTTCTTCATTAACTTTTAAGATCAATGTTTTCACTATTTACTG